TGGGGGGTGTGGGGATGCTGGGGGTGTGCTAGCTGTTCTCCCTTGGGCATGTGTCTCTCTGCTACTTGTGTGGCTTGTGCTGCAATGGGGGTCACAGAGTTGTGGTCCAGGAAGGGGGAAATGAGATGGTGTTTGATGTTTATTGGTGGTGTCTGATGAGTGTTTCTCTAGACTGTGAGCCAGCTCCCAGGGTACAGCGGGTAGGGAGTAGGTGGTAGCTGTGTCAGTGCTGGGCCCTGGTGCCACACCCTAGGGAAGGGCAGGCGGGGCTCTGAGGGTCTGGCCCTAGCTCTGGCAGATCCATCCTCAGTAAAGCACATCCCTGGGCAAAGGCACTCATGTAAGTGGAAGGCAGGCAAGGGCCAGGTAGGCAGGTTCTGGGGCTACAAGGAACAAACCTGGGGGCAGAGAGCTGGGGTTTTCTTCCTTTCAGTGTTCACTGCCCCTTTGCCATCACTGACACAGACTCTGGAAGGAGCCACCCTAATTGCTCAGGCCAGGGTCACTGCTCTGGGGGCCAGTGACAGCAAGCTTGCCGGTCCAGGGGTGGTAGACAACACCCCCAGAGGCCACTGTGAGCAGGAGCCGCAGTGAGGGCAGGGCCAGGATCAGCTTCGTCTCACCACCCTCCGCTCTTTGGGCCTAAGTGATCAAGGCCCTCTCACCTGAGGCCAAGACCAGCATGGGCTTGATGGAGCCACCCCAGGGAGCCCCAAGAGAGATGAAGCCATCGATGAAGCGGTCCTTCCAGGCCTGGGGCTGGCGCAGCAGGAAATAGAGCAAGTGTAGGCAGCCGAGGCTGTGGCCAATGAGGAAGACAGGCTTCCCATAGGCAGCATGCATCTCCTCCACCAGCCCAGAGAGCTTGTGGTAGTACTCCTCCTGCTGGCCTGAAGTGGGTGGAAGGGGTCAGGGCAGCTGGGGCGGGGCTACCTGTCCAGCCCCAAGCCTGTCCTCAGCAGAGACTCACCAGGCTCCAGCCGCCAATCATAGGGGGCAGCGCGCACGGTCTCATCCCGAACGTAGCCATTGTTGACGAGGTTCTGTACCAGCGTGTGCAGGTACCCTGTGGGGGAGGCAGCGGCACTGGGAGCTCGGGCCATGCCTGCTGCGGGCCAGCACCCCGGCCTGGAGCCCCGGCCCTGCCCTCTGACACACACCTGCCAGCTTGCTGCTGTCCAGATACTCCACAGAGTAGGTCTTGCCAAAGCCAGGGACACGGATCTGGACGCCAGGGGCGTTGGACACAAGGCCGGAGCTCCGGTTGTAGACAACCCTAGGGGTGAGGTGCCACTCAGCAGCCAGTAGCCAAGGGGCAGCATGTGGGGGCTGGGGTGGAGCACATGGCTATACCTGGTGTTATCGATCCAGCAGTCTACTCCGAGGGGTAGGAACATGTTAAGATCCAGCCAGATGGTGAAGAAGTCCTCTGTCTTGCGGTAGCACATCCAGTTCACCACATCTGGTTTGTCCAGCTTGGCTTCTAGCTGATTCCCCAGGCAGCCGGGCACTGTGAGCAGCGGCCCTCACTCTGGACTCTGGATTCTCCCCGTGACCCTTACCCCGGTCACCCCAGATGCTGCAGTGACCAGACCTGCCCCCCGCCTCCCACTCTCTCAACCCCTCAACCCCCACGTACAAAGCACACTTACCCTCCCCTGCTCACATTCCCTCTCCCTGCTGTCCCCCTACTAGCCAAAGCCCAGGCTTTCCCGAGGAAGGGAAGGTGCTGGGGTCAAGGCCACTGATCTCTCCCTCTACAGAGTAAACACCCATCCTGGCAAAACTCCTTTATTGCCAAAGTCCAAGGTGGGAACAGATAGGTCTAGGGGTGTGGGGGCTGGGCCTAGGAGGGCCGGGCATGGATGGGCCTTTCCTGCTCGCTGTCCCTAGGCTGGGCATCTTGTCTTTGGTGGGTGGGGGCCAAGGAAGGAGTGGTGGGGCTTGGCCCAAAGTCTGGTGTGGCTATGGCTGACCACAGCTTGTGATGCCCCAGCCAAAACCTCAGGCACACCCCATCACCCACTCCGCCCCCCTGGGGTAGGCAACTGAGAGACAAAGCACTGGGGGAGAAGGGAGGGTCATTCCTCTACTGGACAAGCTTTTGGCCCCTCCCCACATTGAAGCAGGTACAGGGGCTTAAACAGGACAGAAGGGCTTTGGGTCAGCTGCTGGCGCAGTGCATCAGGGGCCTGGCGGGGGCTTACCGAGGATGACAGGCCGTGTGTGGTTACTGAGCTCAGCCTTGGGCGTGGTGTGCGGGGGGAAGAGCACATTGAAGAGCCAGAAGGGGGCGGCAGGAGGGAGCAGCAGCCCCAGCAGCAGCGGCACCCACTGCCATGGGGAGCCAGGCGGCCCCATTCCAGCCCTGGAGCCTACTGCCAGAGGAAGCAGCACTGGGCTGGCCTTATCTGGTGTGGGGGTGGGAGGGGCCCTAGGGCCAGTGGGAGGGACAGCCTGGCCAGTGGGGGTGGTGGTGGCCAGAGATTGCCGGAAAGGGGCACAGCCTCAGGGGCCGGCTCTAGGCCTGGAATCAGTTCCGCCTTCTTCTCTTGGCGCCAGGGGAAACAGAGCCGGAGCAGCGGGAGGCCCAGAATACACAATGTTTTATTGAAAAAGTCAGGCCTCAGCTCGCTGTTTCCATTCGGCTCAGCTTGGTGGGGGGCCCTGCCAGTAGTAGACTGAGCCAGATCTTCCTGCAGGCGGCTAGGCTGGACCCCCTCCCTGGTTACCCTTCCCTTCGTCTCTGATGGTGACGTCCAAACAATAAATATGCAATAAATAGCGCTCCTGGGCTGGGCTGGGCTGGGCCAGCTACCTTCAAACCCCACTCGGCCCCCACCAGTCTTCTCTGGCCAGGACAGGCCTACTGGGGTGCTAGATGGTAAAGTCCCCAAACCTCCCAGGGTCCCACAGGACCTCGGATCCATCTCCAGAGGCCCAGACCTCGTTTCCAAGGAGACCTAACAAAGCTGGGTCCAGGACAGGGCCAGGCAAGCAGAGCTGGCAGGTGGGTGCTGGGAGGAGGCTGTTACCCCAGACCACAGCTTGTGATATCCCAGCCGCGACCTCCACTCCGGGCCACGAGATGACACTGGGCTCAGGAGTAGATGGTGATGACTTCACGGCCACCACCGCGCACCAACAGCACTCGCTCAAGGCCCTCAGTCAGCACCTCGAGGAACTCCATGTCTGCAGGGCCTCGGGTCAAGGAGGCAGCACCAAGACCAAGAGGCAACCAGGCAACCACACCCACCCAGGGGTGCCTGGTAGAGGAGCTGCTGGCCTGACCTCCCACACTGTCTACCTCCCTACTGCCTGCCTCTCCACAAAGGGATACAGTTTTCGTCACCTTCACTGTTCTTGGGTGGGCCAGGCATGTTTAGCAGAACCAGGCGGGCATCGTGGGAGCGCGTGACAATGACTTCATTGAGCTTCACAGCGGTGTGCATACGCCGTACGTTGGATTGGTCCCTACATGTAGTGTAGCCAGTCACAGGTCACCATGAGCCACCCTGGCCCACCTAACACAACTTCTCTGCCCCACCCCACCTTTGCCCCTAGATTCCAGCGCAGCGGGGTCTGTTTTTGCTGCACTTACGGCTTAATATGCACCAGCTCCCGGAAATTGTCAGGGGTGTGGCTGGGGTCCCAGGGCTCAGTCATGTACTTGTCCCTGGTCCATGTCATCTGGATCTTATCAGTCCCCACTGCAGACTCATCTTCCTCGTCCGAGTACAGGCCCTCCAGCCGCAGGGCCGAGTGCCGGTCCTTGACCAGCTGGGCCTAGCGACAATCAAAGGAGGTAGCCTTGGTGCCATAGGAAAAAGGGGATGGCAGGATGACTGACCCAATGTGACCACCCTGCTTCCAGGAAATGGGCACTGGCTTGGGTGGGGCTGTGCTGAGTCATTCTGATTCCTCTGGACCCACCATAGGGTCTCCAAAGGCCTGACCCTGCCACCCACCCTGGCTTGAACCAAGAAGGGCACTGACTTCTCGTTCTCGCTCAGTCTTCGTCAGTCTCATCTGTCGCAGCATCTGTGACCGCTGTTCCATCATCAGCGTCCGCTCGTAGGTATATGCAGAGATGTCACTGTTATGCTGGGGACAAGGTAGGCTGTGAAGACCCAGTTGCATGGGACATGGTATCCAGGGGCCAGGGCAGGGCAGGGGGCTCACCATCTCTACCACCTCCACCTCGGCCTCAAGACGCAGATGGTACAGGAAGACAGCCAGGTCCTTCTTCATCTGGATGCTGTTGTCGTCCATCTGGGCCACTGTGAAGATGCGCATCCGGCACTTCCTCCAGACCTGAGGCAAGGAACCGGGTGGGCGGTTTGGTCAGAGCTTCTCCAAGGGCCCAGCCCTTCTCACCCAACCCCACCCCCGGCCCACCTTATGCTGGCGCAGCAGGAAAGGCAGAAGCATGAGCATGCCACCGTCATGCACGATCCACCACACGTCTATGTGACCCTCCATGTAGCGCTCATGGTTGCTGGGGTAGAAAGCAATGTTCTTGGGCACGAGCAGGGCCAGGTGGGCAGCTGTGGTACAGCGCACGGTGTCTGGGGAGGACAGGCACAGTTGACCACCAACCTGTGGCCCTTTGGCCACTGCCACCTCACTTCGCCCCTGCCCACCAGTCCCAGCCCAGGCCTCAGGCCCTCACACACCAATGAAGGTCTTCCAGGCACGGGGGTCCTCGCTCTGTCGCCAGCCGTAGGGCCAGCCCAGCACCACGGAGTTATGCCGCATGCCGCCTAGCCCACAGGACTGGATGAGGTGGGCCAGCCCCTCCCGTACCTTGCTGGCCACCACCACCTGGCAGAAACCCTTCACCTTCTCAATCTCCATCATGTTCTTGATTGTCTGTGGGGAACATACCCGGGGCCGAGGGGAGGCCATCAGCTTCCCTTCTGCTGGGCTCCCTCCTAAGGCCCTTCGGGAACAAAACGACTTTGGGGTGGAGGGGGGCCTGGGGGCAACAAGCTGCTCACCCGGAGGCCAAGTTTTCAAGATGGGACTGCCAGCTACCCCTTGTGCCAGCTCTCAGGTACAGCAGTGCTGGCTGCCCCGCCAGCCGCCCTGGGCAAGATTGGGCCCCTCCCCTTCATGCCAGGTGCAATCCAGACCCCTATAGTCCAGTTCAGCTCTCATCCCCCGAAACAGGCACCTGCTCAGCAGCCTGGGCCTCGCCATAGCTCTCCAAGAAGCTGCCCTGGATAACAGAGCCAACAATGGTCAGGCCCTTGCCGGCCTTGAGCTGGGAGGCGAAGGTGAGGAGCCGTGGATACTTCACATGCAGGTCCTCGTCGAGCTTCAGCAGTACCAGCAGCTGCGGCCTGTGGTGGCCAGGTGCGGGGAGCCTGAGACCAGGGCTGGCCTTTCCAGGGAGCCCCTCCTCTTCTTCCCTTCTCGGGTCATGGTCCCTGTGGGTTTGGGTAGCATGGCCCAGGAGGGTGCCCCTAGCAGCCCAGGACAGGGAACCCAGACTGGGAAGGGGAGCTGGCACCTCTCAACCCTCTGTCCCTGACAGTGTCCCTTAAGAACCTGTGTTCCCTGGCCAGGGTCTGGTGGGAACTCACCGCCAGTTCTTGGTGTGAGGAGGCCCCTCTTCAAGCCGCAGCAGTGCATAGCGGGCAGCGCTCAGGGACAGGCCTCGGATCCCGTCGCCCCACTCCTTCTCAGCCCTGCAGATTCCACAGCAGCTGGTGAGCCCCAGGTGCCGCCCAGGGGATTCTGTCTATGTGGATGCGAGGTGGAGGTGTTCTGCCCTCCAAGACCACCCAGGGGCCCTGAGTCATATTCCTGAGTCCTGGCATCCACAGTGACCCAGCTCCCTACCCACTCCCACATCAGACCACCTGCTTGGCTGGGCCCCCTCAAGGCTGTGCAGACTGCAGGCATAGGCCAAGTGGCAGCCGTTTACTCACCCTTGGTACTCGATGTACTTGTAGATCATGCCGGCGATGAGCATGGCCACCAGGGCATAGTACCAGGAGGAGACGAACATAAGGGCCAGGCAGAGGCTCATGCCCAGGAAGGACAGCGCCCTGGGCCAGAGGGGAGGGCAGAATCAGGGCAGGACCAGGAGGGTCCCAGGGAACAGCCTGGCCCATGTCCTGGCAGCTCTGTCACATCCCAGGTCATATACTGGGTGGGAGACAGGTCCAGCTCCCCCACCCCCATAATCTCCCTCCCCACAGTATTTCATCAAGAGCTACCTGCCCAGGAAGCCCAAGCCTCATCCAGAATGAGGCTCCTGGCCTCCCCAAGGCCTCCCATGTCAGAGGCGTGGCTCACCAGTGATAGTACTTGAACCGGGGCCGCCAGTTGGGGGTCCTCAACAGGGTCTGCACCGCACAGGCCAGGTTCACGAACAGGTAGCACATCAGAAAGAACCTGCGGCACAGGGGGTGGTTGGCACAGAGCAGCCTCCTCGGCAGCCAGGGATTTGATGTCAGGCTGGGCCTGGCCCAGAAATGGGGCGTGACCCACCCTGCCTGGCTCGGCCAGCTCTTCTCAACCTCATTGCCCCCACTTCCATGGCCTGAGGCGATGAAACTATGCTGGGGGTGTCCTTGGAGCCAGATCACTGAGGATGGGTGAGGGTTCGCCCATGGAGGAGGTGGGAAGGGGAGCAACGGGGTAGAGCTGAAGAGGGTGGTGCTGGGTGGCGGGAAGAGCTCTGCCTGGAGACTCTGGGCCACACTTGGGACTCTGGCCTGGGCAACTAGCTAGATGAGGGGTTGCCAGGCATGAAGGGGAGGATGGAGGATGAAGCGGACCATTTGAATGCACCCAGTCAGACACTTAAGAGACCATGCGGTGGGTATGGGAGTCTGAGGCGCGGGCAGGGCCGGCTGTGTGAGCCCTCTGGGTGGGCAGCTGAGGATGGGTGCACAGGAAGGCAGGAGAACCCACATGGGGCATGTCAGGGGGCAGGGGCTCCCATGAGGGGGAGATGGTATGAGTCCCTTCAGGCGCTGCCAGCAGGAGGCCCGAGATAAAGGCTGAGATGTAGCCTCTGGCTTGGGCATGAGGGGTCACTACCCAAGACGGCTATGGCCAGTTTCAGCTGTGCACTTATGTGAGGGGCAGGGATGGGGTGGGGGAATGAGAGGATACTGGCTCCAGCAGGCCTGGCTGTAGCTGGGGCAGAGGCTGCTCAGGGAGACAGGGCCCTGCCAGGTCTGCAGGCTGAGGGGGCAGGGAAGGGGAGGCCGTTCATAACCACACAAGCAAGAAGGAGCATTGGTCACAGAGCAAGGTGGGCGAGGACCCCAGACTAGGTAGAGGTGAACACTGCAACCAAACAGGCGCTGCCTCGGGGACCCTGGGAGTCTCCATGTGCTGGCCACTCCCTGCAATGCACTGGCACGCAGAATTGCCTGGCTGATTCTAGAATGTTAAAAGCAAATGACTTTGAAATGGATGGGCTGGGCACGGTGGCTCACATCTGTAATCCCAGCACTTTGGGAGAGCAAGGCCAGTGGATCCCCTGACATCAGGAGTTCGACACCAGCCTGGCCAAGATGATGAAACCCCATCTCTACTACAAATACAAAAAATTAGTTGGGCATGGTGGCAGGCGCCTGTAGCCCCAGCTACTCGGGAGTCTGAGGT